AACGACAGAAGAAAGAGGAGAGAAGGTCAGAGAGGCAGAGAGAGAGAAGGAAGGAAGGAAGGAAGGAGTAGGAAGAGCAGGAAGGAAGGAAGGAAGGAAGGGAAGGAAGGAAGGAGAGAGGAGAAAAGGAAAGAAGAAAAGAAGGAGAGGAAGGAAAAGGATAGGAAGGAAGGAAGGGATACCTGAAACTGGGTATTTGTAAGAAAATGAAATTATTTCTTACAGTCTATTGTGGGTTTGGAAATTCCCAGCGATTCAGGGCGTGGCATTCACGGTGGGTTTCACCATGTTGGCCAGGCTGGTCTCAAACTCCCGACCTCAGGTGATCCTCCCACCTCAGCCCCTCAAAGTGCGGGGATTACAGGCGTGAGCCACCGTGCCCAGCCCAGCTTCAGGTATTCTGTTATAAGTAACAGAAAATAGACTAAGACACCCAGCTACCACAGACAAACTCTGGCCAGGCATGCCAGTAAAACTGCTCTGCAATTCAGTGGAATGGAACCATACCTTTTCTAATGAGTCCTGAACCCCAGCCTTGGGGAGGGGACCCCATTGCAAGTTTATCCTTTCTTGGGCAGTCTCTTTCAGCCATAGGGTGATATATATTATACACATATGTAATGTACATGGGTATATATACCCTAATTTACTGCCTGGGTAAAATATGGAGGATAAAAAGACTGTGGTTAACATAAATGTAATTTTCCACTGAGTTCTACTGCATAGTGTAACGCACGGTTCTCTAGGTTTCATCGGCTTATCCAAACAAATGAGTTTTAAAAGCCACCCATCTACATGAAAGAGAACAATATGCTAAGGGAAGATGTGCAATAAAGCTCAGAATTACTGTTACTGTGCAAACACACTTCTGCCGTGGGACATATATGATTCTGAATCATGCCCACACCTAATCAACAAGACTTCTGCAAAACCTCTCTTGTCCAAGTCTGTCTGGGTGTTCCTAGAGGGTGACTTGTGCTCATGAGCAAATCCTGTCCCACTGGGTCCCCAATGCTCCACCTCTTCTCTCTGGACTCTGACATTTCCCATGAGGGATCAACCAATATCACCATGTCCCTTCCACTAACTGCCTCTCTTTTCCGTGGCTTGACATGAGGAGCTCCCAAGATGACAAAAGTATAGAATGTTCTGCAAAGTGGGAGGAGATGGAAAGAAACTGTCCTTCTCTTTTGTGTTACACATGGTTAGATTTTCCAAGGCAGTGCTACACATGACCCAACATCTCATAGAGTTTTAGACTGACTTATCTTTTCTGTTTTCCCTTAAAGTCTTCTCCTTCTCCTTCTTTCTCCACAGCAGTCATAATGAAAGGAAGGAAGAAAGAAACAAAACAAAACAACACTGACAGACACTGAGTAAGATTCAGAACTAGTATTCTCTTCCAATGACCAAGTAATCCTGGGTCAAACTCATGCAATGGCTTTCTCTTGCCGCAGGGTCACATTCTCATTCCCCATGCATGTCCACCCAAATTTATCAGCCATGCTCAAATTCCAATTTAGGTTTAAGCGGGGACCTCTACTGTAATACAGAAAACCGAGGCAGTAATATAAATTGCTAAATACAGTGTAGAAATGAGGAAACACTAGTATGTTAGCTCCATAAGGGTAAAGATTTTTTATCTGTTTTATTCTTCGTAAAGCAACAGCTCCTAAAACACTGCCCTCAATAACCATTGGTAGCTGAATGAATGAATTCTGGTTCCATATGGCAAACCATTCATAGAAACAAAAGCCTGCTGTCCTACCTCCACATTGCAAAGGCAGCTTAGCCCAGGTGAATGGGGTAAAGAAACACTTTCACCAGGTCTGTCTACACAGTTGCTTTTCCCATCTTTTCTAACAACAGCCCAGCAAGTTCTCCTTGCTGGAGGCTTTGCTCACATCAGTGGGCAGAATAAGACCAGCTCCTCTCCTGCCCACGTAGGGCCCGCTGCTGCCGCCTGCTGAAGCTTGTGCAACCTCCCTCAAAGTACTGATTCATAAGCCTTTTCATCGCAGAACTTTTGAGAAGCCAGTGAAAATCTCAGCTCTTTCCCAGAAAAAAAAACATTGCACAGATGCACAAACATACATTTTGTACACTATTTCAAGAGATTAAAGAGGTCCCTGGAGACCCACCATATCACACTAATGGTAGAATTTGAAGCAAACCAATCTAAAAAACAGGGAATTGTTTTCTTTTTTGTTCATTAAAGAAATGTTCCATACGCACCAAAAAAGAAAAAGAGAGAGAGAGAGAGAGAAATGTGTAATCAACCAGCATGGACCTAACAGCTATCAACATTTTGCCATTCTCGTTTCATCCATTCCCCTCAAGTTTTAAAATTTTTGTTCATGATAGAATGTCTTACAACAAATCTAAGATAGCTTTTAATTTTATCTGTAAATACTACAATATGTTTCCAACTTATCAGGACTTTTTTTTTTTTTAACATAACCATTGAACCATTATTGCACCCAACAAAATTAACAGGACTTCCTTAATGTCATCAGATAGCCAAGCTGTTTTATATTTCTCCTGATTATCTCAAAAATAACTTTTGTACAGTACTGTAGTTGGTTTAAATTTGGATCCAGGACCAGACATTGAATTAGGTTGATATATTTGCTAAGATAGGAATTAGTTTATACTGCGTGAGTGGAAATCACAAATTGGTTATTTTATGAAGGTGGAGGAGAGAGGGAAGGTGTGTGTTGGGGGAAGCAGGCGAGTAAGTTAATGAAAAGTATCAAAAAATTGAAAATTAGGGACTTTTTAGAATTCTTATTTGATCTCTTCATTTCATAAAAATGACATTGATGAGAGTTGGTCTTCAGTCCAATGGCCAGATAAAACTATACCCAGGAGATCAGAGTGAAGATTCCTTCTCTGAATCTGATTGTGGATAAATTGTATGTAGCTTACCTAGCATTTACATTTGATTTTATTCCCTTCCTCTTCTTTGGGTAGGATAAAGAATTAGCAGCTAAGTTAAATAGAAGACCCAGAACTCTCAAATATAGTTCAGCTTGTTCTGTGGGGTCCATGCTAGACTTATTAGGATCCTATTCACCTTTTGATATATTAAACGCAAATATAATGGGATTACCTGCTGTCTTCCTGATGTATCCAGCGCTGATTACTACCATCGGATTTCTTCTCCACCAAAACCACCTCCATGCCTGACCGGAGACTGGGACCTTGAACCCCCAAGACTAGCTGAGGAGCAGCAAGGCTTATAATCTGCCCATCTCTGTATTCGAACTGCTGATGGCAATGCTTGTGCAATTTACTATGCTTTGGTGAACAGCTGAGACAAAAAAACCTACATTAGTGGCAGAAAAATGTCTCATGCATTTGATCCTGCACTTGACGTGCTGGGGATTATAAGTTCTGTTGGTGAGAGCTCCAATATGAACCACGTGAATTTGCAATGATAGACCATAGCATTAGAATGACAGCAACGCTACTAGCGCTGCACTTCTAAGCTGACATAAGAAGTAGAATTCTGAGCTTATTTTGTAACAGAAATAAATGTTTACCAGGAGAATATTTGAAAATTCATTAGCAAAGAGAAAAGAACTTCAGTTGACAAGGTAATTTAAAGAGGAAAAAGTAAGATTTAAAATTAAGTAAGAGAACAGGGCCAGGGGCATGTAGAATCAAAACAGAGAAATAAGGGAATTCTGTTCAAACTATGATTGTTTCTATCCTCTGTCTACAGTATCTCTTGAAACAGAACACCATTCTCCAAGTTTTAAACTCACCTCTGACAATTCATAGCACATCATAAAATAATGATGAATTAATAATTTAAATGGCTCTCTTAAGGATCTTATATTAAGCAGAATTAACATGTTACATATCACAACACATTGTCAACTAAATTAATCTATAAACATCTAATAAGCCCCTACTATGTGCATGGCCTAGTGCTAAATGTTGAAGTGTCAAAAACATTTAATTCACATGTTCCAGTAACTGCTGTAATGTCAAGTATCTAAAGATTATGAAATAATACAAAGTACTATATATTCCTGTCATTTCATTGGACATTGACAAAAAACATTAATAAGGAAGAAACTGCATTTTCTTAATTTCTTAAAAACATCAGGGCATCTTAAATGCTTATTCGTAAGTTAACTCGCACACTCATTCAACAAATATACAGGCTCTGTGCTAAGTTGTCAGGAGGCAAAGGTGGATAAGCATACTGTTTAATAGAAAAAACACAAATGAGTAAGAGATTATACGCTGAGCAACATAAACCAAAGAGTAAAGGACGTTCCTGCAAAATTTCGTAAATATTTTAATCAAAACCATAAGACAAAAATGTGCATGTTGATAGAAACAGCAGCTAACAGCAGTGAAAACTCTTAGGAATATATGTGTCCCAAGGTGAGAAAACTAACACTAGACAGAAATCTTTAAGAGGATTCCTTTGCAACTTTTTACCTGTATTTCTTCTGTGGTTCCACATTTTCAAAGAGCCCTTTTTCCATTTTCTTTGGAAGACTGTCATCCTCATCAAAGTCATGCGAAGCTTCCTGCCAGGCATACCTGAGAAGTGTGTGACAAGCCTTCATTCGAAGATGAGCTCTTGCATGTGAATCTCTATCAGGGTTCAGAAGCAAACACTAATCTAAGAAATCTCATTTGTGCTCATAAAATTTTTTTCTGAGGTGTAGTCTGATCATATTCTGCAGGATGTTGGTGGATCTATAAATCTTATTTCCATAAGGGTGCCTGGTATTTGAAATTCACATCTTACTAATACATCATTTAGATCTTTTAATATAAGGCTACAAATAAAATCCCTCAATCACATAATAAACAGCATTCATCTTTGTCATGTTTACTCAGAAAAAAATGAGACCATGTATTGTATTTCAAAAATCATAAAGATTGACTACTCGGTAGTTTGAGAAATTCACAATGAACATGTAATGAGACTCCCTCTGTCTACCCCATAATTGGGTCATAATTCTGACTCGAACAGTACAGCCTAGATTACCCGGTTTTATAAAGTTTACTCATTAGACAAGGCTAAGAAATCTTAACTTTTCCAAGATTTCTCTACAGAGAAATCTAGGGAAACTCAAATAGCATCTGCACAGATAAGCCAGCTCTTGACAGAGAATAATACAATAAACAGAGTAAATAGTCAGAGTTTGAATAATTGAGTCAGCCTTCTGACTTCATATTAAAATGAAGATATAAAGGGGATCAGTAGCTGCCATATAGATCTGTATATATAAAGTTCCAGGCCACTGTTGAGAGCACATTTGCCTTCAGTGGGATCGTGATATGAGGACTGTTTGATTGAGGAAGGATAAATATACAGGCAAAGCAGCAAGCCTATTTCAGCACTCTAAATCTGCATACCTGTAAATAAAGTTCTCTGGGACAGACTGATCACCAAGGTGCTTGTGATAATTTGATGTAACTACAAGCATTATTAAATTACCAAAATCTTCAGGGACAATTCCTGTGCTAGCAGAGCTGACCGTACTCTTTTCAAATGTAATAGAAGTATTACATGTAGATTTGAAACTGGTGGGTAATGACTGCCTCATTCAGAACTGCAGGCAGCACAAGCGGCTTCTCGAGGCAAAGCTCTCCTTTTACAGTTAAAAAGCAACAGTGCCATCTTGTGTTAAAAATAAAAACCACAGCTTTCTCACCAATTCCATTTCTTTGAGGAAAAGAGAGAGAGAGGGGAAAAAAGTCATTCTTAGCTTTAACAAAGTTAGAAAGATGCAAACAAGATTCTTCACCCAAATCCAGAGGTTTAATTTTCTTACTCGGAATTTCTCTATCAGCTCTTGAACTTCCTGGCAAATAAGGTATAGTCAGGTCAGTTTTAGAACAGTCATTTTTCAGTCCATCTTGCTTTATTAATTGATTTGTTCATTCATCGAACAAATCATTCGTTAGTTATTCACTCCTTTAATCAATATTTATTGAACATCTACAAGACAGGTAGGTAAGTTATCAGTGCTCATGGAGTTTACATTCTAGTGGGAAGAAGAGAGATTAAATAGACAAGTAAATGAATAAACAAGATAAATGCCATATGTTGAATAAAATAGGATATTGTAATGGAAATTGACTGGGACGGGGTAAGGTTTACTTTAGCAATGAAGTCAAAGAAGGCTTCTCTGAGAGGTGATGTTTGAATTGAGACATAGACAATAGGAAGGAGCCAGTCACGTGAGGATCTAGAGGGAGAGCCTTCCAAGCAGAGAAAAGAACAAATGAAAACGCGATGAAGCAAGATTATGGTTAGCCCATTTGAAGAACAGAAAGACAGTGGTGTGACACGCAGTGAGTGAGGGGATGGTAGTTCTAGACGGGGCTTAAGAGGTGGGCAGGTACCTGTGATTCAGTGAGGAAATGAGAAAGTTTGCCCTACTCTCTATGTTCCAAAAGTCTTTTTATCCTGCAAAGCACAAAAATGGTAGGCAAGTGCTACCAGAATTGCTTTTCCATTTTTCTTATTGTTTGTGCCAGATACCTTTATGATAAAAAAGCAATCAAGAAGGATCCTTCTAGACTGATGTTCTAGCTGCTGGCTTTATGCATGTCCCTCCTTAAATCATCCCATTTTTCAAATATGCAAAAACCTCCAAACAAGCACATTTAAGAAAGTCTGGGGAAAATCTTACAGTGACTTCCTAATGTAAGATGATTTAGGATGATTTCAGGATTGTGTCATCAGAAATGGTTCAAATGACTAGTGACAGCCTGGAAAATAGATAACCCAGGGTATTAAAAAATATTTCAACATAGTTTAAGAGCTGCCAAGTAGAAGAGGAATAGGGCATAATACAGAGAAACACATGGAATAATAAGATGGAGATGGTCTAAATAATTATTTAAATGTTAGAATGGGTCTCCTTGAAAACAGTGATCTCTCTGTTATTGGGAGTATTCAAGAAGAGGCTTGAGCAAAAGAGCCTGCTTGGAATATGCAGGAGATGCCTGCATTGTACTCTGAGAGAACCCAATCACTTTTAACCTCAAGGACCCCAGGCCTTCACGAAATCTCTGATTCAGAACAATGAGAATCTTTGCTCTCAAAAATGTTTCTTTCTTTTCTCTTACTTTCTGTTTATTTTTTTTCCAAGTGCAGACTAAATTACTCAAAGGATAGATGACACTTCCTTTAGAAGGGGATGTGAAAGTTTGTGGTAAATTCCTTGACTGTTGAGAAAGATGCCATCTAAGACCAATCATTCTCTCTGAAAAATGCCTTCTGGTGCCTTTGTTACTGTCAGTCATAGGACCAAATGAATCACCTATCCGAATAAGGAAGTTTGGTTTCTAAAAGTTCATATTCTTATAATTGAGGATAGAAACAATTCATAACAATGATATATAAATTATTCTCACAATTATTGCGGTGGTAATTGGCCAGGTATTTTTGGTTTTATAATTTGAAACACATTCAATCTTTCCTTCGTTTATTCAGTAAATGATGATTAGAACCCACGTGACAGAGTCTTTGCCCTCAACAGTTCCCAGGCTGGTAGAGGGAGGGGTAGGCAAGGGAGAGAGGGACTGACAAGTACATTGCCACGTAGGGTCATTGCTGTAATTGACTTCAATGCTAAAGAGTCATTCTACAGATAAGTATGGGGCAAGTAAAGGCACTGCAGTGGAGAGAAATTCGTATGTGGCTCAGAGGTCTGCAACAGAACATAAACAGAATGTGCAATATGCAGGCAACAGCTTGTTGTTGCTGAGCTGGAGGTTGGAATTCATGTGTCAGAAAAAGACAGTGGGCATGGGAATGCAAATGAGGGTCAATGACTGGCATGAACCAAGGTCAGAAGGTCTTGGGATTCCAGATGAATAAGTTTTTTCTGTCTGCAATAGGTAGCCCTTAAAAAACTATGTGAAAAGGATTGTGCATTAGAAAGTTAATCGTCTACAGTTTAACTTAGAGGGAAATTGGAAGGAAGATATTATGGCAACAGAGAGCAATCAGAAAGCTATTTCAATGATCCAGAATGATAACTGTATATTAACATGTGTCTAGCTTGAACTTAGGGAAGAAGCTTAATTTATCCTGAAGTCAATATTTATGGAAACAAAACTTGATGAATTCCTCAAATAAATGTTTTCTATCCTAAAATTCTAGCCTTTTAAAAATAATAACATTATAACAATATTACTGAAAATAGACCATTGTGATGGTTGAACATTGAAGCTGTAGTTGTATCATTTTGCTGGAAAACTAATTAAATACTAGCTCTTCACCTGCCATTAGTTTCACAAACTTGGCATGAGCTCCCTGCATGGGCTCTGTGCTGTTATTGGGCTAATGAGCTGAGTTCAAACAGCAGCCAGGTAGCTTTTCGGGCTACATTGATTACTTACAGAATTTCACTGGAAGCATTTTCCGTTGTTAGAGCATCTTTTTGCATTTGCTTTTCTTCTGGTTCTGTAACTTGCTTCTCTTCTCCAAAAATTGCTACAGGTTTATGCACAGCAAGCTTGCTTCCAGATACAATGTCACTTTGGACTTCTAAAACAAGAGCTGAGCAGAAATTCACAAATTGCAAGGACATATTAGTTACAATTGCAGAGCATCAAGAATTTAGAAACACACACTACAATACAAATGCAAAAGAAAATCCATCTATTTGGTCTATTCATAGGTTATTTATTAAACTCAGTTGAACTTAATTTTAATTTTTGTAGATTCTTTACTCTCAAGATATCCTTAGTCAAAAATACTAAAAATAGGTCTTTCCAAAGATCAGTTAATTATTCTATATAGTAATTATTCAAATGGGCTACATTATTTAGATATATGTTTCTAGATCATTCTCTGGGATCCAAAACTCATCAGTGGACGTCCCAATCCCAGTCCCAGTGAAAGCCTTGAACGACACATGCAAAGTTTTACTATACAGTGTTCAATATATATCATAGGGCAATGTTTTAAATTATACTAATGTTTTTTGTCTCTTTTTCTTTTCTCTATATGGACTTTTGTCCTGGTTCCTGGAGAAAACTTAAGGGAAGGAGGAGGATCATGAGGAAATCAGAACTTGAATAAAAGAAAAGCAAAAGTCCAAAGATAGTTTTTGACATTCAAACAGCACACTGCCGTCGACCATGGAAGTTAGGATGATACAGTCATGATCTATGGTTTCTCCAAAAGCCTGTAGTTCCCACTTAGTGTATCAAGGGTTTAACTTCAGGATTGACCTGTAGAAAAACCACCACTCCTGAGTCAGAGGGGATTTGGGGAACAAGACAGAGAAAGCCAGAGAACTAGCACAGTGTATCCTGATTCTCTCTACAGGCTTCACTTTGGGTATCTTAGTTAAACTGGGGAAACAGTGAGGACACTGTCCATTGTTTAGGACACCAGCCATTGTTGAGGACACCATGATGACGTCCCCTTTCTAGCTACCCTTGCTACTCCAGTCTGAAGCACAGCCAGCCACGTGAACTGGGATCTGGTTTCTGGGAGGTGCAGCTAAGATCCAGGAGTTGCTGAGAATCTTTTTGGGGAACTTTCCAAAAGTGCGTGCCAAGCAGGGGTGAGGTGGCTCTGTAGCAAGAACTGCAGAGATGACCACTCAGTCATAGCCAGGCTCCAGAGGGCCACAGGAAGCAGAGAGAAGGCTGAGTCAGGGAGGAAGCACACCCACCCAGAGTATCGTCTGAACCAAAAGAAGGAACCACAAGTCATTCCAGTCATAGACTTCAGCCAGCAGAGCCCAGGAAGCAAGAAGATCTGCATCCCAAGTGCTTTCTTTCTATCTTAGAGAGGAACTTAACATGAGAGTCTGGAGATAGAGAAATCTGAAAGCTCTCCCTAAAGGGACTAATTAAATTAATGGATGGAACAAAATGTAAACATGACTGGAGAATGCATGAGGCTCACAAAGAAGGTCAGATCTGTTAACGACAAAATAAAAAGATTATGTTTTCTTTGCACATTCAAACTGTAGTGTGAACTAAAATACTCAATCCTGTCAAACATATAAATGGCTTTAAAGAGTTAAACAGCAAGATGCAGAGGTGAAATATTACCTGTTTAAACAAACTTTGACTTTTCTAAAAACAGTATCGTCAAGCCTTTCATTTTGGCTGCATATATTAAGGTAAATAATTCCAATGCTTACCTTCTATTTTACGTATGCTACAGAAGATTTCAATTTTGGAAATGTCTGATGCTAGGTTCCTCAGGAAGATTTGTTTCTTTTGTTGAGCAATGGACAGGTCAGGATTGATCCAGTGTTCTCCACATGAAACATATACCTATCAAACAAAGCATCTCTTATCCTGTATATAATTGTCACAGCAGCATTATCTGTAATAATCTAAACTGGAGACAATCAAAAAAATCAAAATGTACTATTAATATAATAGGTGAATGATTAAAGAAAACTGTGGTGCCATGGAATACCACTCAGTACTTTCAAAAAAAATCAAACTGCTGATAAAGGCAACAGCTTTAATGAATTTCAAGAATTTTGTATTAAGTGAAAAAACTGTCTTTGTATTGTACCATATTATTTTTGCAACATCCTGTGAATCTATAATTATTTCAAAACAAAAGTTTAAAAAAATAATTGTTTAAGAAGAAGAGGTAAGGAAGGAAGAAAAGAGGAAGGGAGTGAGGGAGGGAAGGAGGTAGAAAGGAAGGGAGGAAAGAAGGGAGCAAGGGAGGGACACAGGGAGAGAGGGAAGAAGGTAGGAAAGAAGGAATAAATTAGAGATTGGCAAAATTAGAGATTGGGAAACTATCCCTAAAACCCAAATCTGGTCCCCTGTCTTTTTTTGTGAGTACAGTTTTATTAGAACACAGCTATGCCCATTCATTTACATGTTGTCTATGGCTGCTTTCATGCATCAGAGCAGAGCTGATATACAGCAGGCACCATATGGCCCACACAACCTACAATATCTACTATATCATTCCTTACAGAAAATGTTTAATGACCCCAGGTATAAATGAATTTGTAGTACAAACACCAAAATGTCAGTGTGGATATTTCCAGGTGACAAGATTATGGATGATACTTTTCCTCCTCTCCTCCTTTTTTTGCTTTTATGTATTTTTAAATGTCCTTAAATGGATAAATATTTCTTTACAGATGAGAAAAGAAAGTGATATATTGAAAAAGGCTCAGTAAGAAGAAAGAGAACCTCAGTGCTGACTTTTCTGGTCATTGCAAAGTCATTATTACAAACATTCAACATTCTATGTAGAAGACCCAGGGAAAACTTCAAATAATAATACTAATAATAGTAAATATATATTACTATTACTAATATTATTATTTGAGATGAACTCTTACTCTGTAGCCCAAGCTGGAGTGCACTGGCATGATCTCGGCTCACTGCAACCTCTGCCTCCGGGGCTCAAGTGATTCTCATGCCTCAGCCTCCTGAGTAGCTGGAATTACAGATACCTGCCACTACGCCCAGCTAATTTTTTGTATTCTAGTAGAGGGAGGGTTTTGCCATGTTGCTCAGGGTGGTCTTCAACTCCTGAGCTCAGGTGATCCACCTGCCTTGGCCTCCCAAAATGCTGGGATTACAGGTGTGAGCCACCGTGCCCAGCCAAAAATTTCTTCTTTTGAACAACAGATTCCTTTTTCTCTTTTGGACATATTTAATGATGTAACTAACTGTTTATGTTTCCATTTTCATGTTACTCTTCAGAGCAGTGACAGATTAATTTCTAGCAAATATACAATCACTCCTGGCTCCATCTTATCCTCCTTCCACTCATACCTGCTTTGCCATGGTGGCCTCATCTATACTTACCATTAAATTAATTTTTTGTATTGTATGATTTAATGTAATCTACCTTAAATTCATTCTTTAAAAAACCCACAGTGGGCCGGGTGCGGTGGCTCACGCCTGTAATCCCAGCACTTTGGGAGGCCAAGGCTGGCAAATCACGAGGTCAGGAGATCGAGACCATCCTGGCTAACACAGTGAAACTCCATCTCTACTAAAAAAACAAAAGAGTAGCCGATCTTGCTGGAGGGCGCCTGTAGTCCCAGCTACTTGGGAGGCTGAGGCAGGAGAATGGCGTGAACCCGGGAGGCGGAGCTTGCAGTGAGCCGAGATTGCACCACTGTACTCCAGCCTGGGTGACAGAGCGAGACTCCGTCTCAAAACAAAAAAACAAAAACCCACAGTGAATAGCATAGCAGAACAAACAAAAACACTGAAAACAAACATACAAAACGCTTGGAGAGACGGCATTAGGATTCAAAATGAGATCTAGCAGTCTCTGAGAACAACAGACTCTCCACCCTGCCATTCTGCCTCTGATATTGGCCATTGATACTTCTGTTTAAGACTCTCTCCAGGACTATTTAGGTTCAGGGCCTGAGTTGAGTTCTGACGAAATGGTACAAGCTTTGTTCTCTGTTCAAAGAATTGTAGGCATCAATCAAGGAAGGTATCTTTTTTTTCTAATTTTTCAAACGGGATGCCTCAAATTCTATAAATGAGGGGAAAAGCTGGGCTGCTAAAGTCCTTCTGCTTTTCAGCCTTCTCCAGTCACCCAAATAGAATGTGTGAAAAAAGTAGACATAATTTTGTCCCGAAAAAGTGAAATCACCATTTAGTAAGAAACCATTAAACAACTACATTTTGAAGCTCTCAAAAAGAGCAGAGAATTTACCTCCTTCAGAGCAGGAGACAGAAATTACAAATGATTAACAATTTGGCCTTCTCCAGTTTCTTCCTTAATTTCTAGAGTCTAGGATCATGATGAATATTAAGTAGATTAATTCGGCCAGGCGCGGTGTCCCACACCTGTAATCCCACCACTTTGGGAGGCTGAGGCAGGTGGATCACCTGAGCTCAGGAGTTTGAGACCAGCCTGAGCAACATGTTGAAATCCATCTCTACCAAAAATACAAAAAATTAGCCAGGCATGGTGGCACATGCCTATAATCCCAGCTACTCTGGAGGCTTAGGTGGGAGAATTGCTTGAGCATGGGAGGCGGAGGTTGCAGAGAACCAAGACTGCGCCACTGCACTCCAACCTGGGTAACAGAGTGAAACCCCGTCTCAAAAAAAAAAAAGTTTAATTTATATACCACTCTGAAAACCATGCCAGAATAATGTTAGCTGTTAGTATTATTTTCTGATGCTTGCTCAGTTAGGATAATTCTGAGAGAAAATAAGGATTAAAATGGAAAGCTTTTTATATTTAAGGGCATTCCTTCTTGGATGGGGTATTCATAAATTAATATTGCCAGGTTCAAATCCATGTCTTTACCAGTTCATCTCTTTGCAGGTCTTTTAAGGCAAATATTTCCTTCCCCTTTTCATTGTACAATCTCCGAGCTGCAGAAGGTAAATTTAAAATCTCAGTGCACCTGTAATAAAAGACACAAAAATTGACCTTGCATACAGAAAGCTTCCAGCAGCAAAGGGAGAAAATAAAAGAAATCAGGGCCCTGAATCCATAATGACAACTCTCTCCGCAGGACTGTTAGTCATAAGCTGGACTCTGGTGCCCGTCAGACTCATTTGAGTCTCATTTTCCTCTCCAAAGTGTGGCACTTGGGCAAATTATTTAACCTGTCTAAGGCTAGATTTCTTACCTTCCAGGGTTTCTGTGAAGATGAAAAGTTGATTTTGAAAAGGGCTCTTAGCACAGTCCCAGACATGACCAATAAATAGCTAGACACACTGCTATTGACTTTTCGTTCCTCGGTATGCCCCACACTTTTCTATTTCTGTGCCTGTGTTCTTTCTCCTACCTAAAAAAAAATCTTCCTTGGCTTTTTTCTGATGTAGTTTTGCTCTTTCTCCAAGGTTGTCAAAGTCTAATTTATCACCAAGTTCCTCAGCTCCCTCCACCAGAAGTGATGACTATAGCCCTTTAACTACCTTTGAAATAGACGTTTTCAGCCTGGTTAAACATTGAACACTGATTTCCCACTCCCACAACCCCCTGCCCTCCCAAACAAGCACTGGACAAGCCTTGTGGATTTTGAGATGAATGAGTTTTGTGGTTCCCTGAGGAGCTCTGAATCTGGTCAGGGAAGAGAAAGGTGAGCCACTGAAGTGTAATATGAAGTCACAGATGCTGCCATAGGCACCTGGCCAGTGTGCTGTGAGAACAGAGGGGAAAACAATTAATTTTTCCAGAGAACCCTTATCTAAGGGAGTGACATTTGGGTTGGGTTTTAAACAATAAACAGGATTTCATCAAAAAGCGCTAGACTGGAGCTGAGTGTATGGACATGAGGAAGGTATGGACCAGATGAAACTGAAAAATAAAGCAGAAACCAACTGAAAGTACTTAGGATTCCAGACTGAGGAACCTGCATTCTAGCCCATAAGCAGCAGAAAGCCATTGAAGGCATTACAGCAATTACGTGGTGTTATCAGTTCTGCTTCTCAGAAAGTTAACTGTCAGAAAGGTGGAAAATGGGCTGGAGGTGGGAGAGGCTGGACCCTAGACAGCAAGCTTTAGGACAGATATAAATAGATGGAATTGTGAGGAAAAAGTAGAGCTACAGGAGACTGATGGAGCATTTCCTAAACAATACTGTGAGGATATCCTGCCTATGGAAGAAGTAGAAGATTCTTCCTAAATATATTTTGTGTTAGAATGTACTGTTTACAGTAAATGAACTTCAGTTGACTTTATGCTCATCAGCAAGACGTAGCTTTATAATGTTTCTAAATTTTATTTCCTCAATGGGATAAAGCAATTAAACAGATAATCAGGCCCCCCATTTCTCTAAGGCTAGCTTAGAAGTAAATAAAGCAGGTTGGGTACGGTGCTCCATACCTGCAATCCCAGCACTTGGGGAGGCCAAGGTAGGAGGACCACTTGAGGCCAGGAGTTCAAGATCAGCCTGGGCAACATAGCAAGATCCCTATTTTTAAAGAAAGGAGCTATGCCTCCCAGATCCACAGTCAGCTACAGCTCCGCAGCAGTGGAGCTCTTATGCTAATCAGTTCTTTCCAAATGGTAACAGAACCTTTGAGAAGCTATGGTCATGTGCTTTCTCCTTTTCTTTATCTTCTTGCTTTGGATTTTTGTCTCATTTTCTTTCTTCTCCATGTGGCCTTCTCTGACAGCTGCCCCTTACAATGTTCTCTCTCTTTCCTGGTTATATGTAAACCAGGATATATATCATCATATAAATGATCGCTTGATCATTTTCAATTCTGTATGGTTATAAAGACTGCTGCATGTGGCTTTCTGATTGTTTCACTAAGCAAATTTTCTTCCCCAAAAGTTAGTTGGGAGTTCCTTAAGAGCAAGCAATGCCTTGTTCTAGAGAGAGAGAGAGAGAGAGAGAGAGAGAGAGAGACAAGAGAAGAGAAGAGAAGAGAAGAAAAAGAAAGACACCAAAAACATCCAGCAGAACATCCAACATTGGTTGAGGTACATAATATAAATACAACAGATAACTGTTGATTTAGCAGTTGAGGAAAACAAGCCTTGGAGAAGGACAGGGCTTTGCTGAAGACTTCCAGCTAATTAGTGGCAATGCTGGGGTTAAAATAAGTTCCATTGCCTCCTAATCCAGTGGCCTTTCCAATATTCTATGTTGCCAGCAACTTTACAGAAAATAGAAGGTACCACCATCAACAACAAAAGTCCTGTATCTATTATTTTAAAATGGGACTTATTATACCATTAGATCATACTTCAGTTTTGTAGATGGAAAAATCAATGACAAAGAGAACCTCAAAATTGTCCAGAGTGAATTATTAAATAACTAAAGATAGCATAATTTTCCTTAAACTCAATAAAACTATCCCCTTATATTCGACAAGGCATATTTTGCGAAAAAGTTCATACCAAGTGCTCCAACCTTTCAGCAGTGACCTAATTCTTGATTTGGTAAGAAAATACTGATTAAAGAAAAATTACAACATATTTCATAAACATGATATATGTTAGTGCTATGGCTTAGATGTTTGTCCTCTGCAAACCTCATGTTGAAATTTGATCTCCAATGATGGAGATGAGGCCTAATGAGAGGTGTTGAGTCATGATAGAAGATCCCTCATAAATAGATTAATGCCCCCCTCCCCGGAAATTAGTGAGTTCTCACTCTATTAGTTATTTGAGAGCTGACTGTTAAAAAGATGCTGGCACCTTCCCTCTCTCTCTTACTTCTTCTCCTCTATGTAGTCTCTGCATTTGCCAGCTCCTCTTCACCTTCTGCCATGAGTGGAAGCCGCCTGAAGCCCTCACCAGATGCAGACGCCCAATCTTGAACTTTCTAGCCATCAGAATCATGAACCACATAAACCTTTTCTCTTTATAAATTAACCAGTCTCAGGTATTTCTTTACAGTAACGCAAAACAGACTAAGACAGTCATATTTTAAAAATTGGTTTACAACAGGTAAAATACAAAAATTTACCCCACTCTTAATTCAACCAAATATAAGCCAAAGAAAGGTGCTGTAAATTGTGAAATATATTTTTTAAATGAGATTAATTTATATTTACAGAATTGGTGATTCTGAAAGCTAGGGTAATTTGCTAGACCTTGACATTTAGGGGAAAAAAATTGTATTAATTACCATTGGTATCATAGGCTCACATGCTTTATATATTCCACAGATTAGAAACTCTAGAATCATTATATTAACAACTGATTTTCTTAGGTAGGTATATATGTTATATATATATATATAAAAATAAAATATTTAACCTGTTATAAACCAATTTATATATATTTAAATTGGTTTATAATAGGTGAAATATAAAAATTTCACTACTCCATCCTTAATGCAAGCAAATATAAACCAAATATAATATACTATATATATTTAAGTATATATATAGCATATACTTAACTATATATATAGTATATGCTTAACTATATATACCATATACAGTATATACTATATATATGTATATATCATATATAGTATGTTATCTGTTATAAATAATCATTCAGGTATTTAAATGGAAAACGCATTTGCATTTAGAATATTAAGTGCTTACCTTTCCAAAAATTGGTGAAATTCTATCTGGTCCATTTCTGTTTCAGTATATTTAGTGACACAGATTTTCTCTTTCTTGTCAGTGTGAACACTTCTGAAACAAATGATCCAAGATTTGATTGATATGTCAGAATACACTGTCAATTATCTCTTGACATATTTTAATATATGAAAAATTATAAGGTCTTAATTTATCATGACTTGCCCTAAAGTAATCTCTTTCTTTAAAATATACAGTTTCAAAAACTATCACAATGAAATATTTAACTTCATATTAAATATTAAATAACATGACGTTATTACATAAATATTCATACTATGAGTAATTTTATAAGACAATACATTTTCACTATTTTATTTCTCTTCTAATAATGCTGAACACTATGAAATATAAATTTTTCAACTTTGAAGAAAATTCAGAGATTGCATTCATTTTACCTGTAATTTTTTACTACTATATTATCTTACTATTAACCCCAAATTTAAAATTTTTAAACTGAAAAATAAACAATGATGATCATAGAAAAAGATACTTAATTTGAATACATATCTGCTCATAGTTTTAAGTTAGAAAACTATTTTGTGCATTTTTAGAATCTGTATATTTTATTAAATGAAATAGTTATCAAATACTTCATAATTAATCATTCATTCACTGCAAATGGTGATCAAATATAGCTAACCATTCATTCATTTAGTGGTCACTAATTTAAGGCCTATGTGGGCCCTTAATCATGTGGTTAAAAAAGTGACTCTCTAATACCTTAAAACTTGATTCATCAGAACACAATGATCTATGACTGTAACACAGTAGATTGTACATCTGCTATGAATGAAGCATCCCTGTTCTCTGTCTCATGGATGAAACATAAGCAGATAATCATGAAACAGAATGGTAGGTGCTGTACTGGTGGAAGGCCCAGGGCTGGAGTAGTGGAGTACATAGCAGCCACAACTAACTCGAGAGGAGAGAGCATCTCATTCAGGGTCAATATTTGGAAAGGAAATCTAAACTCATTCTCAAAAGACTTTTATTATTCAAGTACATAGAAAGTGTTGGAAAGTGGTGGCGGGTGGTTTGAGAGTGGGAATAGGGGGAGTGTTGATAGGAAATAGAGCTAGAGAAATATGCAGGGATAGATCATAAAAGGCCTTACAAGCTCTATTAGGGAGCTCAAGTGAGTTCAGAGATCATAACTTACTAATAAGTAATACATATATTGTAATAATCTAAAATATAAAATTTACTTCAGAGCCTCATCTTGGGCCTTTCTTCTTAAAATTCCTTAAATACCACTTATAAAATTTTTCTTGTTTAACTTACATTTCTGAGAGATGAAATTTGCCTGTGACACAAGAAAAATTATGAAGGTCTTAATTTATATGAACTCGACAGTCATTATTAACACTAATTGACAAGATCTTGTCACTCACTAGAGTAATAACTGACTAATTAATGAACAAATACTATTTGATTTTCCTTAGGCTTTGTAGATGAAAGAACTAATAACAACAACAAAAACTCCTCAAAACTATCTCCAGTAAATTACTAAATAGCTAAAGGACAGCATGTTACTAGAGCAAGATTTCGTTAAAGTATATCTATATTTCATCATTCTAGCATGATTTTGCTTGTAAAGACACTAAACAGCCCAACACTCCTTCTTCTTATAAATGAGTTTCAAGTTAATGAAAGTAATATATCCTTATATGCCAATAGAAGTTATTTCTTCTGGAAGATAGGTAACTTGTATTTATTAAATACACTGAGGCACAGCAAGGGTTCTGCCTGGCACAACTCGAGGATGCCATTCATACAGATAACCATGTGAGCAGAGCTCTCTGAAGCTGGACAATGCAGCCATCCTGCAATGTAAGCCAAGACTTTCCATTTAAACCTTCTGTGAACCAGTACTTACATACAGCTCTGGTGTGGGTTGTCAGGGGGCGGTGTGGGGGAATGCTATTGATGATCTTATAGAACACTTTGTGAATCAGCAGATAAATTAAAGTATATGTAGTAGAGTTTTAGTGTTAAGTGTATGCCAGTGTATTTTAATTATTTGGGAGTAATGAATTCACATGGTGAACTAAGTGACTCTAATACCTGAATACTTAATGAACTGGGACACACTGTTCCATGAACATTGCATATGGGCAGCACCGCGTTTCACATATTCTCTGCTAGAACAGTTGTCCAAATTTACCGTTTCAATCTCTTAAAATTTGTTTGGATTACCTGACTGAACCATGCATTTTAAAACATTGATGTGATAAGATAATATCTGTATGTAACTTTGAGCCACAATTAAAGATGCAAAACAAGAAAAAAAATGAATGTAGGAAGAAACAGAAATTTTGTGTTAACTTTGGGTGTTATTTTTGAAGAGTCATACATTACTTTAAGGACATTACCCTCACATTTTACATCTAGCAGAGTGAGCTAATTATGAAATGTATGCGTCAAAGAATTCAATTTCAGGCTTGACTTTACTTTGAAGATTAATTTTTTACTTTATCATCCTTACAGGCAGTTCAGTGGTCAGCCAATCTGAATGTTACTCATTGTTCAGCGATGTATGAAGTATATTTAATCAATGTGAAGAAAGTAATACTAAGCTATTATCAGCAGCCTCAAATATTCTAAACATCTCAAAAGAAAGGTCAAGAGGTAATATCGCTGCTAATAATATGAGAAACAATGTGTTTAACTCATTCTTTACATCAGAGCTCTTCAATGATCTATGATGCCTTTTGTCATAAAATGAAAATACAGTGGGTGATTTTTCTTCAATGTTGGAGAAAATATTGGCTATTGGGAAAATTTTATTCCAATAATAAGGTAAGCTAAAGTGTCAATAAACGCTTTCTAGGGTGATAAACTTTTAAAATGTTATTCCAAGGAAGACTATAAATTATATAAAGTTATACTTTTGAGAACTATATTTGTTCATTAAATATTATAAAGATTTAAACATAATCATGTATAATTTAACTTAAATAAGGAGTTACAAAATTATATTTAAGAAGGATGTTGAGTTCAATTATTTCAAGACACATTTATAAAATTCAAACAAAAATGCTAATTCAAATATACATTGATCATAGAACTTTTAAAAATAGAACTTTTAAAAATCAGAGCTACTCATTTCTAATCCATTAACTTCTGTATCAGCAGAGTTCAAATCAAATTCCTGATGAAGAAACTAAATGAGTCCTAGTCTCTGTTTTCATCTTCAAATATCAATATGAGAGCCCTTTTGCTAAATAAATACAGAATTCTCACAGAAAAACGTCCATAATGAAGAACACAAAAATCTGTAGAAACTAGAAAGTGTGTTTAATAAGTATGAACAAGTTGTTCTTACTGTGTTTTCCATCCAGGTGAGATGTCTGGACCAAGGATAGTAAGGGATCTGTTTCTATTCTTGTCTCCATTCCGCAAAACTCTGAGTCGCACAGGGGCATATGGCTCCATTGTCTTACAGATGGGTTTCTTCATGGGAGGACTGCTCGGAACAAGCAATCCTTGTATCGGCCAATCAAACTCCTTCAGAAAGAAATGACAAAAACATAATAATAAATATAGAAGAAGGGTCATGTCTAGATTTTAAAATATATTGAACACAGTTTATACCTTTAATCTCTCATTCATTCAACAAAAAGGTATTGGGGTACCTAAGATGTTCCAGACAATTCTAATTAATGTTTTATTTGAAGAGGAAAGATAATTATTTTTAAAATTTCTGTAACAACCTGTGTTATGCTGCAAGATGAATGATTTATTCCCTCTCAGAGAAACATCATTCTCGAAAAATAGAACTTGGAATATTTTTGCTTACATGTTAAATATCTTTAATCAGCATGAAGAAGGAATGTGACAAAAGTGGTTTTCAAATAGCCTGAAATAATACTGCCTTAAACTAAATCTATTTGGCAAAAAAAGGAATATATTTGGAGAATATTGCAAAAAAATAAATAAATAAAAATAATGAATATAAACACATTTCACATGTTTCAGTTGTAGAATTCAGTTACTTTTTTATTAAGTTTGTATCTATTCATCCATAAAATCATTTATTGATTAATTGATGTATTCTTCAAATATTTTTGAATGTTTGCCATATATTCTGGCATATTATGCACTGAAAATAAAACTATGAACCACACAAGATACTCTTCCTCAAATAATTTTTAGAAGGTCTTCAGAAACTTACCTAAATATAGACTGGCAATTACAATAGTGCAAGTATGACGACAGGTTACAGGTGTGATGGGACCACATAGGAGGAGAACCTAACCTGAGTTTTCTTAAAATGTCGTAGAACTGACTCCTGAAGCCTTCGTAGGAGTTAATGAAGTAAAGGATTGGTAAAAAGAGGGGTAGATTGAGGATTAATAGAATATGATGTTGGGGCAATAAAAGGAGGCAAGGGGGCTTCCAGGTTCACAGCTTGGGTAACTGGGTAGATGGTATTGCTGTTCACAGAGATAGACACTTGTGTGTGAAAGAAGAGTAAATGTGGGAAGGGATGATCAGTGATGATGCTGGGCAAGGTCCAAGTTTGTTCTTTCTTTCTTTTTTTTTTTTTTTCTACTTTCATAAACAATTGTCCTGGCAGCATCTCCTGTTAATCTGCAATGACCATCCTGTAAAATATCACTACTGCATGTAAGTGCAGATCTGCTTTTGTTTCTCTTCAGTTTGTCAGTTTGTCTTTCCCTTCACAGTAATGTACTGCTTTGATTACAATATATTTTTATGTGGTAAGTCTTGATAACTGGTAGGGCAAAGATGCTCACCTTGTTTTTCTTTTTTTGGGAATTGGCTCTTGTTGGCCCTTTGCTATTTCATATACATTTAAGAATGAGGCTGGTTAGCTTTTTAAAAGTCTCTTTGGGATATAAGTGCTCTATATTGGGTTAAGAAATTTTTATTTTGCTAATACCTTTTCTTGAATTTATATTAAATCATATAAAGTTCTTTTTCCTTCATTTACTGAGATTTGCCTATATAACTAAACTCTCATCACTTATGTGTTAATTATATTAATTTTAAAAAATTTAAACTAATATTGCCTTCCTGGATAAATCAAAATTGCTCATGATGTATGATACTTTTTATAAATTGTTGAATTAAATGTGTTAATATTTTCTTTAAGATTTTTGCATGTACATTCATAAATCAAATTAACATATAATTTTCATTTATTACCTTCCACAAGATTTGGTATGAACCTTATGCTAGCCTCATGAAATGAGTTGGAAAGTATTGCTTCTTGTGAGAAACACAGTCACCCATCCAAACCCAAAGAATGGACTTAGAGGCACAACATCCCACTGCTGTTAAGACTCCTGCCACAATTGCAAGAGATGTAAGGATTGAAGCTATCATGCCTTTCCATTTTCCAAACCAACCTTCTACCCAACATGTAAATGGGTCATCAATTCCAGCATTCTCTGACTGTTCATTGGCTAGAGTTATCAGCCCTTGAAAAGCTTTTGTGATGGTCCCATCTGGGGCAGATGTGTTAGGAATGAAAGTACAACATTTTCCTCCCAGCATAACACATACGTCTCCTTTTTCTGCTAGTATCATGTCTTAACGCAAGCCTGTTTCCCAGGCCATTCGGCTGGTGGCATCAAATTGGCTAACCATCCCTTTGAGGGCATTCCAAGCATAACTGGTGAATCTCTGTTGATTATAGTAGATGTAGTTAATCCAATTCACACTCTTAATAGTTGATCACCAGAAGAGTGCTGACTCAAACCTAGCAGTTATTTGGTTTCGGGCCTTAAATTTATTAGGCGACACCCTAGGGACTCCTATCAAGTCAACATATATATTGGGATCAAAAGAATTTGTCAAATCTCTCCGGATTCGGTGGCCATGTGTATTTTCAGGTATCTTGTGGAATGCCAGGGTGAATGGAATGGCCAGTTGGACTAAAGCACAAGTCCCGGTCCAATTGGATGGTAACAGGTTATGGAGGTTCCTTTTCCCACAATATCACCAGCCTAGAGCATATGGAGAGCTGAGTAGTTGCCATTGCTTGACTAACCAGTGACATTTAGGATGTAGGTACAAGTTGGGAGTTCTCCCATGGGCTTACTGAACTCTGACCCCTGCCTAGAGAGGCAAGAGGAGTGGTTCATATTCCTTACGGAGAATGAGAGGATTGCTCTGGGATCCGACCTCTGTAATGTGGGAAAGAGCAATGACAGAGTCTTATAGGTCTCATTTTCCCAAGCATCCTTATCCTGGTATAGAGCCAACATGCAACACATTCCTTTAGGATCGGTATTCTATCCTAGGGGAAACAGAACCACCTGTGCCTGAGGTTGCCCTGCAGCACACACACAGCAGTTACTCTTGTTGAGGGTTCGTACCAAAAATTTGACCCTTTTGACCCAGGCATTCACATCCCTGTATGCTGTCTCAATTTCTAAGGTTTGCCTTAAATCCTTTAGCTCAATTATTTTTACCCTTTTAGGGTCATTATTTGGCAAAGTGTTTATTAGGGTCTGGGTTTGGAGTAGTCCCAGGCAAATGGGAGGTTGAGTCCTTGATTAGTTTGAGAACAAATCACCCTAGGGCGTCTTTCCCTGTGTTGGCAGCCCCTAATCCATATACCTGAGATGCTACTTGTGGTTCTTGGTCTAAAACAGCTGGATTGTCAATGGTGATGAGTATAGGATTGCCTTCTAAATTCTGGCAGTTATTTGGCAGGGAGCGCTTGGCCCCTTGGACACATGTAGTTTATTCTTCAAGGGTCTCCAGTTCGGAGTTACTTACCCTATGTTTACTGTCCAACCCTGAAATTGGGTAGTCCACCATATGTTATCCCAGCTGGGGTAGGGTAATACCCTACTGTAACTTGTATCTGGTTCAGGGCAAAGATATTTATCTGCCTGCGAGAGCCATCTCTGATTTTCTAAATTCCCACAAGGTAAAACCTGGCAGGCATCAAATCTTATAGTCTGGGATGCTACCGTCTTGGTTACATTAATCACCAACCTGATTGGGTAGGGAGTAGTCCCCTGCCAGTTTCCATTTTGACCTTCTGTTCTTTGTATAGCAGCCCATCCCAGCCACATGAAGAATAAACTATATGTGTCCAAGGGGCCACGGGCTCCCTGCCAAATAACTGCCAGATTTTAGAATGCAATCCTATACTCATCACCATTGACAATCCAGCTGTTCTAGACCAAGAACCAAAAGTAGCACCTCAGGTATATGGGTTAGGGGCTGTCAACACAGGGAAAGACCGCCTAGGGTGATTTGTTCACAATCCCACAACATTTTCCACCCAGGATAACACATACATCTCCTTTTTCTGCTAGTATCACGTCTTAATGCAAGCCTATTTCCCAGGCCACTCAGCTGGTGGCATCAAACTGGCTAACCATCCCTTTGAGGGCATTTTAAGTATAACTGATGAATCTCTCTTGATTATAATAGATGTAGTTAATCCAATTCACACTCCTAATAGTAGACCACCAGTAGAGTGCTGACTCAAACGCAGCAGCTATTTGGTTTCGGGCCTGATTGGGTAGGGAGTAGTCCCCTGCCAGTTTCCATTTTGACCTTCTGTTCTTTGTATAGCAGCCCATCCCAGCCACATGAAGAATAAACTACATGTGTCCAAGGGGCCAAAGGCTCCCTGCCAAATAACTGCCAGAATTTAGAATGTAATCCTATACTCATCACCATTGACAATCCAGCTGTTCTAGACCAAGAACCAAAAGTAGCACCTCAGGTATACGGGTTAGGGGCTGTCAACACAGGGAAAGAAACCCAGGGAACAAAAATATCATGTCTTGCGTTAAGACATGATACTAGCAGAAAAAGGAGATGTATGTGTTATGCTGAGTGGAAAATGTTGTGGGATTTTTTTTCCCAACACAGGGAAAAAAAACCACAATATTTTGTTTTTTGTTTGAGATGGAGTCCCACTCTGTCACCCAGGCTGGAGTGCAATGGCATGATCTCAGCTCACTGCAACCTCTGCCTCCCAGGTTCAAGCGATTCTCCTGCCTCAGCCTCCTGAGTAGCTGGGATTACAGGTGCGCACCACCACACCTGGCTAATTTTTGTATTTTTAGTAGAGATGGGGTTTCACCACATTGGTCAGGCTGGTCTCGAACTCCTGACCTCGTGATCCACCTGCCTCAGCCTCCCAAAGTGCTGGGATTACAGGCATGAGCCACTGTACCCGGTCCCATGTTTTCTTTTTACATTTTTCTCAGAGTTAACTTTAAGGGTTCCTCAGGTGACCTGTGCACTGGTCTTTTTCTCTCTCTTCCAGGGTCTATTTTACCAGTCCCTTGACTGTAGTATAGTTAGTCCACCCTATTCAGCTGTTTGCACAGCGGTCTCTGTGGTTGGGAACACTCGATAGGGACCTTCCCAGTTTGGGTGGAACTTGTCTTCTTTCCAAGTCTTAATCAGCACCAAGTCACCAGGCTGGAAGTGGCGAACCACAAATTGAAGAGGCAGAGTTTGAGTCAGAAGTCCTTTGAACCTGAGGGATGACAGGGTGGAGGATA